TTCTTATTAATTAATACCTTTTGGCTTTTCCAGAGCTTTTACATCCATCTCAAGTACAGGGCCTGTACTGAAAGTCCCAATTCCTTGCTTTAGTTCCAACCGTCCGCTCACACCAGTCAACCAAATTACTTCACCACTCTTGTTTGTATGGAAATTATTGACTCGTTTGTCGGAAGACGATAGTCCATCAAAAATCTGAAGACTTTCAACATTACAAGGTTTACCAGTGAATCTTAAATTGCTAATTGTGACAGTGGCTAAGTGTCCAGGAGGAGCAGTGATGAGCCATACAGATGTGAGACAGGTCGAGTTTTCATGAGGTTTGCTGATTATACTCTCCGCTGTAGTCGTTAATGAGATGTTTTTGACAATAACTTTGGTAGTTCTACATTCAACTACAAAAGACGAGAAATTCTCTTAGTATAGTTAAAAAACGAGACTGAGAGTGTGTTTTATCATAGTTTTATCATAATTTTGGTTCATGGTTTATGTTTTTGGGTTTTTTTATTTACCAATGAACGGAATTTTCAATGAAATACCTTTTGCTTTAGTAAACGCTAATAACACAGGAGTTGTAGTGGATGCACCTTGCTGCAATTCCAATCTTCCACTCTCACCAGATAACCAAATTTCTTCAGATGAGTTCGTCGAGACGTTCGTACAATACTTTTGACTAACTTAGATGACGATACTCCATCAAAAATCTTAAGATTTTCATCACCGCAGACTTTACCACTGAATATTAACAAGTAAATKGAGATAGTGATCAGGTTGTTAGGAGGAGCCGTGATTAGCCATACACAGGTCGAATTGACAGTCGAGTTTTTATGGGGTTYGCTGTATATCGATTGAAACCTGACGCCTGGGCAGCCGTGCAATGTCACGTTGTTGACAGCGAGTTTGTAGCTCCACATTGATATGCAAAACCTTCGATTTGAATAAACAATTTAAGAAACGATAAAACGATAAAATCTCGCTACGCTYGTGTTTCTAAGCTTGCTTCTCTCGTGTTTTTCAACTCCCGCCGGGTATTTTTTTAAATACAGCATGAATAGGATAACGTATCAAACAGCGAACCAATACACAGTTTAATGTGTTACGCATTTATTGCTTTGGAAAGTAATGTCGTTTATAAATGCTTATAAACTAAGTCATTCCATCYCACAAACGGCTGCCACAATCAGGGCTTTGATCGTTTCCCTTTGTCCCTTCCTCYTTTGGGGTMTRTTTGAATAAACCAATCACATGTTATGATAGTCTACTTCCGCTGTTACCGCTAAGCCAATCAGATGCAGCGTAATGAAAGTCGATATTTTGTCCGTGCCAAAGTGGGGCGGTGGACAGGGTGCCCGTCACTAAGAACGGCTGCGCGGAGACCAAGTAGAGGGGACTACATTCCCTTCTACTAACTATGGACATTTGTTATAGAACGACATTATATTGCAAGCAACAAATTCGTATTGCATTATATCGGAACATCAGGAGATAAAAACAGGAGATAAGCGATAAAAAAGGAAATGAGCATGATTACGCTTACCTTCCTTAAATATGGACAGTAAAAAGACGATCAAAACTGAAAAGATATCAGAGTATTCATTATATGCGAAAGTGAAGCAGCCGCTATTCAATGCTACTTTTCTACTGTACATATCTTGCCTATACCCTCGAAAACAGATCAAATTTTTGATGTTTATGGAATGATTCATCTTTTTCCACAATGCGAATGAACACAGGCTATGCGAATGATAGCCTTTCTGTGCTCTCCAAGGGCGGGTCCAGCTGGAATTTTAAGGGACTAAATGGTTTTAAGGGGGGACACTCAGTTTCAGCCATACTAGATAAAAGTCACAGAAAGAACACCACCACTAACAATATAACAACAACAAACTACATCTTTACATGTTTGATCGTTATTATTTGATGTGTGTTATGGAAACGAATCATCACATAGCATCTCCAAAGATGTATAGTCTAAATAAAACGCTTGTACCTGTTCCCTAGGCATCTTATATTATATTATTTTATGACAATAAAGGTATAATGAGAGAAAACTGATTCAGAGACGCCTTAGATGAATGAGAGTGAGCATATGTTCTCTTGTTGACACACTGTCTTCAAGTTTTGTTCTTTTTTCATCGACATCGACAAATTTACTACACCATGCACCTGAACTTCAAGCACAATTTAATAATAGGACTTAAAACGAAAAACTACCGCTTCGCAGTACAACCTTCAAGACAGTATTAGAGTACAAATTTGTACATGTACAATTTTATTGTAAAAAAAGGTATAACAACGCTGGAAACTAAGAGCCGAGAACCTGAATAACGATAAATATAAACACGAAAAAGAAAACTTGAAATGGATGGATGTAGTTGATATCAGATAAGGCAATGATCCAGAATCTACTCGTGAAAAGGAGACCTATATATTGGTCTGCTTGGCTCGCAAAAGTTAATAAACTCACCTTGAATATGAATACTGGAAATTCGCCGCATAGTTTGGCCTAGTGGTCTCAAAGCAARTGCCTACTTTTGGTAGTTAGATGTTAATTATATTTCACATATGTTTTTCCATAATTATAGATAACACGCAGAAAAAATACAGTGAAAAACTGAATAACCAACAGGATAGAACTACAATGTAGCTAATTCAGCAGTTGTTGATAGACGGCGGAGGGACTTCGTCTGGACCAAACAAATCATTAAGTTTTGTCAGGTGAGATCCTCGGAAGGCCTTTCGGTACAAAATGCCGAAAGATTTTGATTGACAAGTACATCAAGACAGCAAAGACATCGCATTTATTGAAAAAGCAGAAATCATCGATCAGATTAAAACTAGGATTTTGCAAATCATATGAACTCTTTAATATTTCACTTCTATTTAGTTTTCAACTTGAACATACACATTTTTTTAATATATGAACAACAAATAATTCAAAGTTCATGTACAACACAAAAAACGCAACCCAAATAAGCTCAGTATGAAGCCGGCTTTGCATTAAGTAAATGGGTCGATTTGATGAAATAGAATAAATAAAACAATGAGCTCAGTCTNCCCGGGGGGGGGACTCCCTAATATCAAAGGGCGGGGGTCCTCGGCGGAGATTGTGAAAATGACCCCTAAAAGGGACCTCTATTGTGAGATGATGGGCGTGGCAGTGCTGAAATTTCAACCCTAAAAGGGACCAATCAATAACAGGTCATTTTGTTTTGGTTTACCGATTTTATTTGTGTTTTTACACAATCATCGAACACCGTCGGCTCGTATTGAGTTTATGACGACGTTGCCATTTTATGACTGCTTAGGGTCGCCGTATACCCTAAAAGGGACCACAAAACACAGTTGGTAGGAATTCTTGTCATGATCACCCTAAGCGGGACCAAAWTASTGATTTCAAACCCTAAAAGGGACGCCGAGGACCCCCGCCCTTTGATATTAGGGATTCCCCCCCCCGGGCTTCCAGTTCATGATTTGATTGAAACTGAGAATTAAATTAGAGAAAACTCTAATCATTAGTCGCCTGACATTTAAATTAGTTTGCTTCCTTGTATTATGATTGAGAAAAAAGTTAAAAAGTAATTTAATACATAGGTTATTCGACAAAATAATGAACGATTTATGTACATTAAAGTCAAAAGAGGTCAAGGTCAAGTTAAAAGTGACAAATAGTCATTTTGAATTATTCTTCAATTACATTTTTCCTGTTTTATATTCTTCTTAAAGGGACACATGCGCAGTAACAGTCTCACCTCTAACGGACTTTGAAAGTATTACCTTCGAAGTAAATCATTTTGTGGTGCTTTTGACACACTTTGGAATATTCTAGATCTGTTTACGTTTACGAGCTGATTTATGTCGCGCCAACTTGGAGTCATAAACTTGAAAACACTAAAGCTAGTGTTTTCAAGTTTACTCGCGCATGCGTGCCATTGACAGTGTCCCTTTAAACAAGGATGGCTTTTATAAGCACTAGATGCAAGTTGATTTGAATAACAAAAACAGTCACCTTCTAGCATTCAAGCTGAAGACAACCGCTCTCCTAGAAATTGCAGGGCCTTGTCGAATCCCCACCTATGCCCTATCCCCACAGGGAAGGTTCATTCTAAAAAGCTCCAATCCCACACCACGTTGGGGATAATAATTGTTCTATTCCCCCACTATCCCCCTCTAATCCCCACCTTGTCCCAGGGTGGGGGGGTCGGGGTTACCGTTGACTCATGCATAAACTCTTTTATATTTGATCTTATTAATTTGATGTGGGACCTGATGTTTTGATATTGAAAAGCATTTTCCCACAGCTGTATAGACTAAATTTAAAATAAAACAGCATCTGTTTGTTCCAAAGAGACTCGCATTATTTTTTGCAGAAATACTATGGAAGTCCACAATAATATAAAAATCGATCGATTCAGGGCAAATGTGATGCGGGTAGACTGAGCATATGTCCTCTATAGTACTTCGAATTTCTTCTGTTGTCATCGACTCAATAATAATTTCAAAACACAGGAACGCAGTTTGATAATAGGACTTGTAACGTAGCAAGTACTGCCAATGTAAAAGAAGGAAGAAGGGAACAAATGCTTTTTTTATCAGCGTTTAGTATACATAAAAATAATGACATTATCATGCTAGAAATCGTTCTTTTTCGCTGTCTAAGAGTAAAGATTGGACATAATTTTATCAATCACAAAAGACAACCACGCCTAGATCAGTCAACTGATCCAGACTCGGAATAATAATGATAAAAAACACTAAATACGGCAATTCGCGGCTTACAGCATTTTGCGAAATCAGTATTTTGCGAAACGAAACGAAATATTTCGCAAAATGCAGATAAATTATCAGCACTTTGCGAAATATTTCGCAAAGTGCAGATGTGCACTTTGCGAAACGAAATATTTCGTTTCGTTTCGCAAAATACTGATTTCGCAAAATGCTGTAAGCCGCAATTCGCACTAATCTAAAAACACAAATTAAAAAACACAAATCTTGAGCTTTATAGAATAAACGTGAAAAATGCAATCAGTTTGCTTACTACAAAAAACAAACTTACCTTCAATATGGAAACGGGAGATCTTCATAGTTTGGCCTGCGGAAACTGAAAAGCTCATAAGAGTAGTCYGACTGTTCAAATGTCACATATATTTTTCTATTGATTCTCTACCTCAAACAATATAAAACAATCAAACATTCAAACATTATTGCAAAAATATAAATGCAAAAAACCCAATTATAAAACTAGACTGCGGTCAGTTGAAATGATTTTCTGATAAACTAAACCGCAGTTCGTCTGGCACAAACAAATAATGTCTGTCAAATGAACTCAGTATGAAACCAGCTGTTTGATTCAAGAAAAAATTGATTAATAGTGACCCGTCATTTTTTATCTTGTATTGAATTACGGGTAATATAGGATAATAATTTTGCATGGCTCCCCTCTAACATGGTTTTGTTTGGGTGTCCCTCGATAAAAAATGAACGGTTCCTTAGACAAAGTACTTAATATTGAAATGATTTACTTCAAACCATTAGAAACTGCACCAGCCTCCATGCATTTTGGTCCACTCCAATCTATTTGCATTCRACATTTATTTTGCAAAGTGGGATGTAGACACACCCCATGGCAACACAAAAACAGCTGCAAAGCTCCTTGTTTCATTGTTTTAATATTTATATCTTCTGTATTCACAGACTAAACTCAATGAGCCCAAGTTATCATTACATAGTTATAAAGTTACAAAGGAAGTATGGCTACCTTCTTGAAGGTAGGGTAGGTTTATGTGGGGACGTTAAGAAGGATATTGTGTTAGGAGATGTGGAAATAGTCCACTTACACAAAAGAATCAACAACAAGTATCAGGGAAAACAAAAGAATTTTGTATTGTTTCCCCAGAGTCTCCTCTTCAATTCTTATGTGAGAGGTTAATCAACCTAAATCTTGAAAGTCGCCTATTTCAACAATCATTATTAAAAAAAAAAAATCTCAAAAAAAATTCAAAAAAATCTCAAAAGGCGGCTATTTCAACAATCATTATGTGTAAAGTTAACTGGACTTTAAAAAACAAAAAATAACATCGTTCTGTTTTTCTACAGAAGGCACTTTAGTGTCCATAAAAATAGTTTACAATTTCTTGATTAAAAATATGTTATAGTTATATCATGCATAAAATTAGAAACATGTTTATCCTACATTTAAGGTGGATTACTGCATGTTTTTTTTGGCTGTACATTTCAATTGCATTTACCTCAGACTTATTATATGTACTTGATTTTTTGATAATTTATAGAAATAAGAGCTTTAAACACGTCATTCTTAGCTTGATCGGCATTACCATGGCTACGATYAAMATTGYTATCAACACCTTATGTTYRAAATAATAATAATTATAATRAAAGAAAAATCCAGTGATCCACCTTGCCTTGAAGCCTTTTTATTCTCATACCCAGAACCTCTTAACTCCCAACCAGTACCTCTGGTATACCCTATAAACATGTTTTCACTATTTAATAGAGGTTTCTACTTTTTCAACTTTAAATTACCAAACAAATGATATGAAAACATTGGGTTGCCAAGAATCTCTGATGGAGAATGATCTGGGTTAGAGGATGCATATGGACGTTCGTTATTTTACGTTTAGTTAATTTAGTRTATAAAACATTAACGTTGTAAAGTTTGTAAATTCATTGCTTTTTAACAGAATGACATTAAACCCTGCAACAAGATATTGGACCTCTGCTGTAGATAACATGCCTGCTTAGGCTAAGACCATTAATAAGTCCATCTTTTGTTTGGTCTTTGTCCTGTTCAGCTCTTTCTTCAAATCTATCTGCGCTTTTTACATTACGTTTCAAGTGAGTTGCAAGACTCATGAACAGTAGGTCTACGTTACTAGCTTCTTTTGCTGATGTCTCCAAYGCAACTGTGTTCTCTTTCTGTGCAAGTTCTTCTGCATACTTAAAATTTACTTGTCGTTCTGTAAGAGCTAAGTCACTTTTGTTYCCAACAATTGCCATAAGTACATCYTTACTTGTATATCTGTTTGCATCATCAATCCATTGTGGTAAGTTTTCAAAYGACTTTTTGTTTGTGATATCGTAAGTAATTATCACTCCATCAGCGTTGTGATAGTAACTTTGTGTTATTGAACGAAAACGCTCTTGTCCTGCTGTATCCCAGATTTGTAGCTGAAATAAAACATAWAAGACCCATTAATCAATAAAATGGGGAATGGTGTTCCAAGCTAAATTAACACTCAATAGACCTGGCTTTCAAGGAGTTTAAACCACTTTAGTTTTTCTCTAATCACAGGATATGAAATGATAGCCTAGCAGTAAAGTAGCCAATCAGAGCGCGAGCTGCTATAGTTATGGTCGTCAATACACTACTACAAAACCCACGTACGTCGTTATAGGAATCACGTATTTTTCAACAACAACAAAAAATGTACGATCAATTGTGAAGACGGAGWTTTTTTTTCTTCAATCATTTTGTGCAGACAAATTGTTTCGCATTAATTTTTTTTTTACAGCTGCATGTAGTCAAAGCAGGAGAATATCAGGAAACGAAAGAAAAATAATTATTTAAGCTTAAGCTTATGTTTATAATTTCTGCTGCACGATTTTTCTTCCGAAAAGAAATCGTTAATTACACTTGCTGCAAGAATTATCCTCTTCGGCGTTCTTTTTTTCATTGTATATGAGATAAAAATGACTAAAATTATCATCCAAAGACATTTTCTTGCAAAACATACAGCTGTACTTGGATGTGTTTGATCAAGAACAAAAGTATGGCACGCGTCCATTATGATAGCTCTTTCCATACAGCGCGAAAATAGGCGTTCATTCAAAACGTACATGGATCAAATAGATGTTTTATATCCAGGAAATTTGGACATGTAAGCAACTCATGTTTAAAATGATCTAGAGAAAGCTGTTGAGTGGTTTGGAATATATCACAGATGCGAATTCGAAGGTGCATGCACGTCGCTGAAWTAGAATGACGGGAAGCGTGCAACCTGTGAAAATTTTATGCCTTTTACCTTCACTTTTTCGCCGTCAACATCGACTGTTTTGATGGTAAAGTCGACCCCTATCGTTGGACCTTGATTTGGTGGGAAGTATCCTTTCGTAAATTGACGAACCAAGCAGGTTTTCCCAACATTTGCATCTCCAACAAGGATTATTTTGAATAAATAGCTGTAGTCGTCCATTACTGATCTACACAAAGGAATGGTTCTGCAAAAACTGTGCCCTTGTTCGCAATCACAATGATAATGAAACTTATCTCTACAATTACCGGAGTATAAAATCCCAACTGAACTCAGGAAAGTTACTGAGAAAGACGAAAATAGATCTTACTTCGCCTACAACGATTCGACTGCTCACCAATGAACGATTTAGCATTGTTAGACACACAGGAAATGACGTCACGTACAATGGGAAATCCCACGGGCACGTTAACTTCCGTCAGGACTTTTTTGACCGTCTTCCGCTTCGAATAAGAAGAGTAGGGGTTTATTAAGCTATTACCTTCCAGAAACTATTAGACACATCAAATTACTACGTTGCCTTTCAAGGAAGTCAAGGTCTAGATGATTGAATTTCAAACGTTTTGTGCGTCGGAGGTCAAATTCATAGCTGGCTTCGAAGTTTATATTAAAGAACTTGATCAAATGTTTTATACACGTGATAAATATTTTTCTGGGACGATATGTAAAAAGTGCCATGTCAATAGATTTGACGGAGCTGATTTGTCGATAAACTTACGCTCCCAAAATTACAAACTCAGGGAAACACCGAGTAGAGGGCACGTGTGTTGCGTATGAGTACCTGACGTCACAAGTTCAGTGAACCTTGCACGCACATTATAAATACGGCGATAGCGCCTCTATCACTGTGGACTGATCCAGAAAGTTTCTAGAAAGTGCAAATGAAAAGCTTTTAGGCTTTGCATCATGAAACACAAGTCAAAATAAATAAGCTGTTGTTGCTAGGCAGGTTGAGGCTTTTCGTCTCCAGGAAAATGAGAACAGGAACTAGTTTCGTCTAAACATTTAGGATAAGCAATAAGGAAAGGATGTAAAACTCACAATGACCATAGGGATCCTGGGGGAATGGATTGGATTCGGAAAAAAGGAAAGGAAAGAAGAAAAAACAAAAACAAAAAAGGGAGAAAGGGAGAAAGAAAGAGAGAAAGATAGAAAAACAAATTCAGAACTATAGAGAAAAAATACTTTTGAATGGATCTCATTGCCTAAAAATAAATAAAAAACATTGAATAAATACAAATGGTAAAGACAAATTTCTATTGTTGTGTGAACTATGTAGCTTGTCRGCAATGCTCCTCCAAATTCAAATCTTGTCTTCCACAACTCTATAGCCCATCTTATTATAAACATTTTACAAAATTTTGTAGGAAGAAGGAAGCAGCAAGCACAGAATTTAACAGGCTTTTTATGCCAAATGACCCAAAATGGAAAACAATCAACACTCTATACAGTCACACTAAAAATCTATTTTTGAAGAATTCATAAACCCTATGTCTAATTTTGACTTAGTTTTCTTCATAAAAATCATGACAAATAAAAAAAATTAAAATTGAAAAAATATGAGATAAAAAAAATAATATATCAAATATCAAAATTGAAATATATAAATAAAAGCCCTCCCCTGAAAACTGGGATATCTGGGATATCAATTCCTTGCAAAAGATCTTACTAATTTGGACATGGCAGCCCATCCAGTCCTCATTGCTGTATGCCTCAGCTGGAAAAAAAAAAAAATTTTCTTCTCCCAAGGTACTTTTTGAATACAAACATAGATGCTATATCTTCTTTAATAAATGTAAATTTTAATCTAGATCAAACAACTATAGGGTAATCATACAAACTTAAATTCTCTTATTCCTACTCTTGTTATAAATTATTTAACTTCTCTATATCATAATTTCAATATTACTTTAAGGTCTATTATAATCAATATCTTATTCAATTCTTATCGAGAGAAACTGCACTTCAGGAGTTAAATGAGCTTTCATCTTTCAGTTTCTACATTGTTTGTACATATATATTGTTTTGCATTATTACTGAAAGCTTAATGAAAGTATCGATTATTGCCAAAAATACAAAACGATAATACAAGACATCATTAAAAAATATTACTTTAAAAATGTTCATATCTTTACAATTAGCATTTTCATCAGAATAATTCATAGCATCAATTTTCCATGTCTAAATGTGGATAACTGGTGACCATCAAATTCTCCTAATTCTCAACGTTCTAATATGTCTAACTACACAAGGGAATTTCAGCTTTTTTGGCAGCACTTTTTTTCTTGAGGTTGCTCAGTTAGTTTGATTCTTTTTGATCGTCTTTTACTTGATCTTTTCCTCCTCTCATCTCCATCATCACTACAACCATTCTTATTCATAATAGGCTTCTTCCTAACTAGCTTRTGAGCAACGGTAAGAAATATTGAGTCTATAGTTGGCAGTTCATCATCATTTTTTGCAGATATTTCCCATAAGGGCATGTGGTATGAATCTGCAAATTTTCTGGCATCATTTGAATTAACTGTTCTTAGCTTTCCCAAGTCGCACTTATTCCCAATAATAATTTTGGGGACATTCGGAGAGTCAGAAAATTGTCCGTATTCACTAAGCCATGTTGCCATTGACTCAAATGATGACTTCCGTGTTATATCATACATAAACACAACTGCATTRACATTACGGTAGTAGTGACTGACCATGCTTTTGCGAAATCTTTCTTGTCCTGCAGTATCCCATATTTGTAACTGGAATATATAACAATATCAAATATAACAATACCACTTGATTTAAATTCCTTCAAACCACACTCAGTGCCAACATGTTGATGAATGCATTTTTCTAACTTTTTTCTTAATTTTTCTAGAAAGTGCAATGATTCAAGCACAATATTTAAAAACAATAACAATATAACCACAATGAAGAGGAGACTGGACTCTATTATACTCCTGACAATAGACCTTATAAAGCAAACWGCAACAAAAGCCATTCAAAAATATCACATGAAGAAAACAGGCCTCACCTTAACTTTCTCATTTTCAATTTCTAGACGTTTCTCCCAGAAGTCGACTCCTATTGTAGTTTCTGTTCTTAGAGGRAATTTTCCTGTGCAGAATCTATAGGCAAGGCAAGTCTTYCCGACATTACTGTCACCGATGATAATGATCTTGAACGTTCTCACCGGTTTTTCTTCGGTGTGGTGAATTTCATCGTCGACTTTCTCATCCTGATCGTAAAATTGTGACATTACCTCAGCTGATCCTACGTTTCCCTCGGGTATTTTATTATTGTTCTTTTTACTTGTCTCTTCAGATATTCGCCGTGCAATCTCCTTCCGKAAAACCTCTCAGAAAGCAAAATCAAAAGCCATAAAATGATTTTCTAGTGTAAAATTCTCTAAAAAGTCACTCAAAATTTCGAAATTACACAGTTTTCTGGGGAAAAATTTCATGTATGAGCTCGCTTCCAAAACTTTTCCCCGGGTTATGCCAATCTCGTACCCAGAGCCCGCATTTTTGCCATCCAGCGGATGACAATGCGTGAGACCGCTGACATTTAGCTCCATAAAATCACATTTTAGATCGAGAGCAAAGCCAAATCCCATTTTATCCCTCTTTCATGCGAGGAAAAACGTGATTTCATTTTTGACTTGATTCTGTGACTGAATTCTTAAACGGCTGGTTAACATGTCGCACATTCAGTGGAAACAGAAGACTGAGCAGCTGAGTATTTGAAGTAAATGCATGCGCGCGAATACTTGTCCAGGCTAAAGGCCAGAATTTAAAAGTTACTGAAAGTACGTTCTTGAAGGTGAACCGGGATCGTAAAGACATCTTTTCTATTGATTTCTACGATTTATTTAGCCTTTTAATTCTACATTGCAAATAAAGGCAATAAATACTCTGGAGCAGAATGACTATCCAAAGGCACGGGCGATTACAGCAGGAAAGGGAATAGAAGCCATGTACAGAATATTCGTACTTACAATTTTTATTAGTTCCGATAGTACAATACAACATTTTGCAGTTTTGWGCAAGAGCAGTTGGATTGCGCGGTTATTCTGATCTCTTTACAAACAAATGGAGGAATGATCMTGATCCATAGCGATCGCCTCTGCGGCGTCTCTAGTCTAATTARATAAATCTAAATATTACAATATATGTACCTCGTTACCTTTTTACAATACTGTAAATTTGCCCTCGTTACAAACATCCTGAGGATGTAGGGAGGAAGGGGGGAGKGCATAATGCTCTTATTTTGCTCTCATGATCAGATTAAAGAAGCAAATTTTTACTGCAATTATWGCAAAGGTAACCCGCGTCAAATATAATTTAAAMGTTTAGCGGATTTTGGTCATTTTTACGCARTCTTTCCCCAGGTGTCTATGTGATTACAAAAAAGATTTAATAGTGGTCAAGCCATTAAAGGTATTTGCAGCAAAAATCTGTTTTCAGCTAATAGTACAATATAATTCTTTCTTTGATTAATATTGCTAAATAATACCAATAAATGTTAAACTAGAATCCAACACGACCTCGCCTTTTGCCACAGTGTAAYTTTCATTGTCAAGTCTTTTATCTGGTTTTATAATTGACCGGATTTCGGACGAACATGAGGATGATATYTCATCCAGCAAGATCCCATTGTCACTTGTCGAGTACATCGAAGATGAACGTTCAGTTTTGTACTTTTTTAAGGAGGAACTGTGGCTATGGTCACTTGGAGCTGTCTTGTCAGCTTCTGTACTGTCACTGAGAACCCTCGAACACGAGTTTTCACTGAATCCAGTCTCGCTACAGTCACATGGTAGCATTCTCGGATTCTTGTGCAAATGAATKGGCGAAAATAGTTCATCRTGTATTCTTAAATTGTCATCAACCAATGAWAGTGTTTTAGGCCGAGTGATATCAACATAATCGTCTGATAAATCTTTCGCCATAGTTCTCCATGATGATCTCTTCGTGGAATTGTTGTTGGGRAAAGAGTTAGTTTTCTGTGATGGGGGCCTTGACCTGTCTTGAATTATTGTTCCTGGAATGAAGCTGGGATGGTTCGAGGTAAGGGGTAATGTGTTTCCAGTGTTCTTTGTTAGAAGGTGYTTYAATGGAGAATCATTTCCCACGTRATTCCTTTGCATGTTGACATACGTTCGTTGGTGCATAAGAGGTGTTATGTCAGAGCTGCGGTTTTCCCTTAGTGATAAACTTCTAGCAACGCTTCTAGAGTCCCTCATCACAGGTCTTTTCAATTCAGCAGGTGGGGTCAAAGAGCCTATCGTTCTGGAATCTCTAAATACTGGGGTGTACAGACTACTAGTGAGTGTYGAAGATGACGACGTCACACCTCTAAAGTCCTTCCCTCTCTCACTTGATGATGTCGTTAAAGAACCACGTAGGCTCGAATCTCTATAAAGAGCAGTAGTGACATCTCCAGGAGGAGTGTACGGTCCATACAAMTTAGATTCTCTAGGTATAGTTCTCTGTACATCATCATTAGTTGGCGTCGAAGTACCAAACCTTTTAGAATCTCGAAATAGATTACTAKKTGCCGGCGGCATCGATACAACCATTTTGCGAGAATTCTTCATGGAATTAGACCTCGATACAGATCCACTTTCTCCACGATTATTTTCTGTGTATGGTCTAACGACTCCAACTGCACAACCGCTGTTTCTCAATTTAACTGGTTCAGTGTTCTTTTGAAACGTTCTGTTAACTGTGAACGACTGGTCTGTTTCTCTTGATGAAGGTCTACAGTTGTAGTACATATCGAGCTCATTTCTATGTCTTTGTAGGTCATTAAGCCGTGTTTCAATATCGTAGTCAATTGCTTTCTGTTTGTTAGTGCTGCCTGTAAAAGAGTTACTCCTGGAAATCTCAGGGCGTTTTTTACTTTGCGCAGTGAAAGAACGACTTCTTTTTAACTGCTCTACATGTTTTTCACTTAATGAAGCACCCAAAGGCGTCATCCTTTCCTCTAAAGGCTCCTGAATTTTCTCTTTAAATGAGTTATCATCATTTGGAGCTGAGGTTTTGGGTAGAGGTGTAATCGRTGTGCTATCAACAGCAATTGTTTCATCAGGTGCGAGAGGTTTAGAACTAACATCTTTCGTTTCACTTGACTTTCCCTTCATTAAGCCACTTATGTGTCCCCACACACTCTTCTTGTTTCCTTTCCCCTTCGTTTTYTTATTAGCRTTTCCATCATTATTAGTATTTCCATTGCCCTTTTTGTCTTTCTTCGCATGTTTCTGTTCTTTCGATTCCATACTAGTATCCTTTGAAGGAGGCTGCTTCGTGGAGTTTCTATGCACTTTTTCCGTTTGCACGTGTTTATGCTTTTCACAAAGAGTTGTTTGCTCTACGTGCTTACTACTGCGTTTCCGCGAGTGCGTCGAGCCGCTACCGTTTTCATCTTCGCATAGTATGCATTGCGGGCGTGTCTTTTCTTTAAGTCGCTCTTTCGCCGYCGAAGACTTCGATTCCTTCTTCTCTTCCTGGGTCCTTTCACTCTCAGAATCAACGTTAACAAAGTAGTCGTTGTTTTCTGATGCGTATACTTTCCCCTCTTTGAACAGAATTCCAAGACAGTCYCGTATGACATGAGGCTTAGGTACGTGTACGTATTGGTACGTATGCGCAAGGTATTCAAACACCTGCTTCTGTCCGCTAGGCAAATTGTTYATGTTTAACGCTGAAATTGCTTCATACACAGCTTTAGTTAGCGGTAGGAATGGTGCTTGTTGGATAACTTCGGTGTCAATTGACTTGATAGTTCCTAGAAACACGAAGAGTTATTCGTTAACATTCTATAAATCAAGGAAGAACGTAGAACTACATATACATTACTGTTATAGTTGCGTCACTCTTATATAAGTTCTTATAGTCATTTGATAGTTTGGTAGATTTTTAATGGTAGTTTGCGCAAGGCTGATGAAAATTAACTAAGGTCTTACTAGATACTATTTATCAAAAACGTATTCCCTAAAAGGTTTATTTTGYGTTAACTGAATATTAAGAAGACATATAAATCATAAGACGCATCGGACAGGTGAAGCCACGGCCCCCCAACCGACGGGCAATACTCCTTTCCCGGATCTGGGGGACATAAAAGACGACCAAATAGATCATTTCCTTCGATGTCGACATTAATTCTCCCGCTTCCCCGTGGATAGATTCTGTTAAATAGAATTAAATTCCCGGCTATTTTAACAATTGCACCGCTCGAGGTGGACTTGTACTCAGACGACTATCAACTCGTAGTTCAAGAGAGCGAATGATCTAATTTTTTCAGTATCCACAAAACTTTAGACAAATTTTACAAACATCTCTTGACAAAAGATCATAACAATTTTTCTCTACATTTTTTAAATATTTTCGCTTCATCATGACTAAACCAAAGTTTTGTAGCCAATCAGAATGCAGGATTTTTGATAGCCCATAGTATAGTCCATACTAAACTATGACGGATACATAAAAACAAATGTCAGTTTTACCCAAGAGTCTTAGCACTAAAATCGCTTTAACTATGGTTTTAAAAGATTGTTTATTAMATGAAATATTTTGGTAAACAGAACATTCAGTCGTGCGACCATGGACTCTACTAGCCATGTTATGACGAGCAAAACAAATGTCGATGCAAATTAGAAAGCAATTACGCTAAAGCACGGAGTAAGAACAATAGAACTTGTTCCGTCGACCATAGTTAATAGACTTCGAGGTTTAAGTATTTTGATTGCACAATACCGCTGTTGTCAAAGGAATACACTAGAACAATCAAATCAAAGAACACCGTCAMTGATCCTAACAGAATGTAAACAAAACGAGTTATCAGTCCTAGGCGTATACACCCTATACATTATACGAGTGTTGCTTCTAAAATCTACAAGCGATATTAGTCCAATTGGTTAGCATGATTTATCCGTCATTTTGTWGGGGAATCGGTTTAATTTCATTAAAAATATTTAAACACTAACAGATCGAATAAATAAACTAAACCACCATACAATATTCTAGCATTGAAAAAAAACCCACGAAACTGATGAAACTGACAACAGAAATTCTGAAATACGTCTAATTTGAGGAAGATTTCAAAGTAGTCAGTGAATTATGCGGTGAAGCAAATGTCATATATTTGTATATTCATTGAAGTGTGTGGTGGAATATTCAAGAGTTATATGATATCAAACAATTAGCAAGACAATACTTTGGTATGATTTAGACAAAGCCTGTTAGCAAGATTTTTATACTACAACATAGGAGAACAATTTACGAGAAAACAGAAAAACAAACAAAATGCAGAAAGCAGTATAATAGAATAAATAGTTTCAAAAACAGCATTGTTGACAGTTTCAAATCGTGCGACGAAAAGAGTAWTTTAGATTTTACCAGCTTATAGCATTTACATCAATCAGACAACCAAATATTTGATTTCTGTTAATTCCGATTCGAACATTAGACCTTCAAAGGTCAAGAAGTCCGTAAGCATAAAATCGTATATTTGATTAYCTACCTAAGACAAATTTATGCATAAATCGTGTTCCGTAGACTGTAGTAAATATTTTAGCGTTCAAAAACATGCACAAAGGATTAACAACCCGAACCGCAGCATTTCCAAACGWATTCAAATTCAAAATGAATTGTGTTTTGTCAAAAAGAGAAACTTTTGAAGCTCGAAACGTTATGGACAAATGTCCAAATTATKCAATTAACACTGAAGTGCATATTGTACTGAGCGTGACGTTACTAAGTGAAATTCTCGACCCCCAATGGGAATTTTCCCAAACTGATCGTAACTTTTCGCTACAAATTAAGTTGCAATCAATCAATTCCTACAAAACAGAAAAGGTATTATAACAATCCCCTACTACAAAATGACCARGGAAGGTCAMACTTACCCAATTCGCGGATAATATAGCGGTCTGGACTTCGTAAAAACCGTCGTCTCCATGCCTCGGTTAAAACATCCATCTCTTCTTGCGGACCTTTGATGAGAATTGTAAATGGCTGAATCCACCCACCAAAACGGACCTCTGAAAGGCTTTCATTTAGTCTCGTATTTAAAGTAGATTTGTTGTTCTCGATGAAAGAATCGAACAGTTTTTTCCCCGAGTAGAGTTCTTGTGGTTTTGAATCGCTTATGGTAACATCATTCTGGTCAACCTCGACAGAGTTTGGTGACAACGTGATTGCCAGAATATTATTGATTAAAATAGAACATTTAGGAGCTCGAGTACATTCTCTAGTTGTTTTAGARCTTGAGGCCATAGCTTTAGCGAGCCCATAAGTCGTCACAACCAGCTAAACATAACAAACTCACCACCAACCTCTGGYCTAACAATGGACGGTCGTTAATTAATTCATAACGTTGGACCCATAGATGTACGTGCTGGTTCACCTGTCAATCAAACTGTCTTCTTTGTAATGCAAAAACTTCGACCTTTCACAATAACCGCCAATCAAATAACCATTAGCTGAACTATTATCAAAGCCCAAAAGTTTGTTTATTGTTGCTCTTGTGCAAACGTTTGTGTAAACACAAAATTCTCAAGGGTTTGTATAAGAGTGTTTATGCCCTTGTGTATAATGTGAACAGCTGTCAGTTTTCGAGAAAAGCGATTAATTCACACGTCGTTGAAGGCATGCATACTCTTCCTAACAACTGCCAACGCAYGGATCCGATACCTGTAGCTTTAAAACATTATAAAACGATACACGATGTCAGTGATAAAAACTGTCAACAAAGCGCTGAGTATCGAATACTGTGCGACCGAAATGCATTGATCCTATTAGATTCCATGTGAACGCATTTTAATGTTCCTGATTTCATTGTTTCAGTTACTATACCAGCTCTGTATTTTTGATGGAAAGTGAAGTATTTCTYAATTATTAATGTAAATTCATTAATAAACAAAAATGCAATATCTAGACATGAATTTACATTAATAATTAAAACTATTTTACTTTCCATCGAAAGTACAGAGCTGGTATAGTAACTATGAAACAATCGACTATYAGGAATTCATGTCAGTATTAGAGAACACCATGTTAAGTACTCAATGTTTTGTGTCACTCAGTCTAGTAAGGGCTTCCTTCTGCTCATCAGCTGGTCAATATTTTGGACATTTGCGTTCGAATAGAAATGACAGATTTTCCAAAGCTGACTTTATAACAATATTCGGCTAAAAATCAACATTTTGAACATGATTTTTTCTTTTCCGTGAGTAAAGCTAGGCTTCTATGTACTGTTTGTCCGCAGAGTATTCAGAGTATTCAAGGCAGAGTGCAAAACACTACAAACGTTTCTTAAATTTTCACCATGTACATTGAAATACTATGTTTTGGAAAAAATATATTAATCTACAAAATTTAAATTTTATAGAGATTTTGTTAATCGTAGTGCAATTTAATAATGACTTGCGTAAATTTAACGCATAATAAAATCATTTCTCGGAGAAAATACAATGTCCCATAATGCCTTGTTCTAGAAAATGGCGTCGCTGATTTGGATTAGTAAAAGTCTATCCTAAAAACACAACTGAATCATTTACATCTTGTGAAACAGATGAATGCTGTCTTTCGTCGTCCTAATTTACGGCAAAAGCTAAAGTTGTCGACGACAACACCCTCAAAACTAGTTAATGCAAATGTTTCATTAGGTTTTTACAATTATCCAAAAAAGCCCAATTAATGTTCATGTATTCTCAGCTGACCAAAAGGAACGGGGCTCTAGAACACGCGCAAATCAGAGCATGCGCATTTAAGTCAGRAAGCGCGCGCAAAATTAATGAGGTAATAGCACGCATTGTGACGTGTAWAATTAGTATCGCATAATTTTTCGATCTATCAAGACATAAAAACTTAACTAAGGTAAAAAGTTATTCAAACATGGGAAATTGTTTTTCTTGCCATCGAGCAAGTGCACAAAAATCGGATATTGACATCACTTCGGAGGTTAAGAAAGAGCCAAATGGAAACACTTGGATGAAAAAAGTTGACTCGGACTTGAGTAAACTTGCCACGCCCGATGTGACGGAGAAACGTCTGAAACATCTGTACAGCCTCTCAGGTGAAGGGGAGAACGTTAACACTACCGCCGGAGAGAAAAGTCTGAGACATCCAGACAGTCTTCCTTCCAAAAAGCAGTCTGTTATCAGAATCTCACGTGGAGGGGAGAATTTGAACGCTAGTGCCGGAGAATTAGATGCCAGATCTACACTGTCTTCATTCTTTGACCAATCMAGCGATGATTTGAGTCCAGAAGTGAGCAAGACCATAGAGAACGCTGAAAATGAACGACAAGAAAATCGGGACGAAGTAGTTCCTTCCTCTGCGGCGTCGGGAACGAAACAAAACATCCAAGATCTCGATTTGATCCGTGAAGGGACAACGAAGCACGTTACCAGCGCTCATTCCATTGAGACCGCAAACTGCGACGACGCTGCCGCTAGCTCTTGTGATCTGGATGAAGCCAGCAGACTGTTGCACGAAATTGATACCATGACTGCTGATGGTGAAACTTCTGCGCAGTCTGGCGCCGGACAACTGAAGACAACATCAATCAAAGTCGAAGGTAAAGGGACGCCAATATCTTTTAATTTTATGCGATGTAACGTAGAACGTCATTTGATAAATCCTGCACATGCCTCGGGTTTATAATCAAAGAGATTAAGAAGACTCACCACTCAATATCTTTCCATTCAATCAATTTRTAGAATCGGATATGGACAAGCCACATGCAAAGGTTTCCGCCGTAAGTCTATTCGACAAAGAAGAATCAAAGCTCATAGAAGACATCTTGAGGGAGGACCAGCAGCGCGTCATGATGGACGCAGCWACGGAAGATGAGATCGAGCTCACCGCCGACCTCTGCTTGCTGGGAACTTCCATCAAAAAGGTTAGAAATTAACAAGTAGTCACTTAGGTTGGCATTAAAGTATATAGATTTTATATTAAACGTCAAACGGAACATATATTTAGAAAGTGACGATAAACTTTCTGCTGTTGTTGTTGAAGGAGCCTAACGGCCAGCCAGATGCCGAATTACCAGTCGATGGACAAAAGGAAATCGGTGGCAATTCTGTATCTGAAGCAAGCGACGAAGAACCCTTCTCATCCGTGAGGGACAGAGCCGACATGCGACCCAAATTGGTTCGAGGTAATCTAACAAATGGCATGAATGAATTGYACATTAGTCCAAAATAGTAATAATTTATAAGTCTAAGTCCAGTTTTAAATGCCATTCTGTTGTGTCCCTTAGTAGATGATGCAACAGCTTTTTACAATGAAGAAGAATCGAAGCTGATTGAGGACATCTTACGGGAAGACGAGCATCGTATCGAGATGGACGCAGCAGCAGAGGACGAAATAGAGTTCACAGCAGACCTCTGCCTGGTGGGGACATCGATCAAGAAGGTAAGAGGTGATCAAGCAGTCCTCTGCGTTGATGAGTATATAAACTTGATTATATCCTGAATGTACATATACACACACACAGTACGATAAAGGTTTTTTGTTGTTGTTCAAGGATCCTAACAGCCGGCCAGATGCCGAATTACCTGATGATGCTGATGACGCTGATGTACAGACGGAAGTCGGTGGTAATTCTGTATCTGACGCAATTCATGAAGGAGCCTTCTCAATCTCTTCCGTGAAGGACAGAACCGAAATGGGACACAAAGAAGTTCGAGGTAAACAAAAATCTCATCCAAAATAATATTTGACACAATGCGAAACGTGCACCATGCGATGCTAAGTCTAGAGGGATCCAGTGACCAAACTTTATACACTTTAAGTGTCATTCTATTACTTAATAGATGATGCAGGTATCTTTTATAATGAAGAAGAATCAAAGCTGATTGAGGACATMTTACGGGAAGACGAGCATCGTGTCGAAATGGACGCAGCAGCAGAGGACGAAATAGAGATCACCGCAGACCTCTGCCTGGTGGGGTCTTCAATCAAGAAGGTAAGTGAGCAGACGCACCTGCAGGGTTTATATAACCTTGATTATAAATGATTTGGTATAATGATATGTAATGCTGCTGTCGTTGAAGGAGCCTGGAAGCCGGCCTCAAGTACCAGACAATAATGCACAGACAGACACAGACGAGTCACTCGACGAGTTGAAGGACGTTGAAGACTTATTGTCAATCAATTCGCTTTCGGAAGTGGACATGGAAAGTCCATTTCAACGCCCCAAATCACGTACGGGGTTCCATGCCACCGGTAACAATAACTCACTAACCGTTGGAACAAGCGAAGAAGCAGCATTCGCCTCAGAGCTGGATGAAGCTAACCAGCTAATAAAACATCTAGATGCCATCTCTTCCGAGAAAACAAGAAGTCATCYCCGTAAAAGACAGGACTCCCTTTCAAGACGTGATTCGCAGAGGACCAAACATGACGACGTTAAAGGTGAATAGATAATCTCTCTATATTGCTTCAGTAGGAATAAGATCAAGATCAATTGAAAATGTGGACATGTATAATATTTCTTTTACAGGTAGCTAATACCAGAAGTACATAAAGTACGCCTGCTAATATTAATACATAAATCCAARAAAGAGATTCCACTCAAAACCTTTGTTCCATTTTGTAGGTTYAGTSGTTGTYAAAGCAAATGTAGGTGATTCCATCGTAACTCGTTATGAYGACGGAGAATTGAAAATGATGGATGAGATAATGGCGGCAGTAGAGGATAAGGCCGTAGATTTGACAGCCCAGCTCTACCCCATTGGAGCTTCAAACAAMATGTCGGAAGAAGCAGATGTGGAAGATCTTCATGAAATAAGACCTATAACTAGACAACGCTCACTTCAACGGCCTAAAACAGGGCGTAGACGTACGGAAGATCAAGGTAAACGATAGTCTAAAAATGTCATGATTGACCTCTTTACCCTTTTTTAAATCGAAAATAAGAATAAAACTCGGGTTATCAAACACAAGCTTTGCTTATCTTGCAAATCGGCTATTTTCTGCTGGTCACCAAGTTCAAGAACTTGGTGACCAGCAGAAAACAGCCGATTTGCAAGAAATAAGACCCCAAACAAGACGGGACCGTTCAGAAACAATAGAGCATTCGCTTCCACGGCCAAAAACAAGGCATGGACGTGCAGAGGGTCTAGGTAAACGATCATTTAATTATGCATGATTTATTTGTTTAACGATTTTAGTCGGAAATAAGAATGGAATTCGGGTTCGTTAACATAAGTTTTTCTTACAGAATTTGGTGGCTCTRACCAGCAGAAAAAAGCGGATCTACAAGACATAAGACCTCAGACAAGGAGAGGTTGTTCAGAAACGGAAGAGCGCTCACTCCCACGTCCGAAAACAAGGCGTAGACGTACAGAAGGTCAAGGTAAACAAAATTTCCTTTTTTAGCGATTTTTAGTCGGAAATAAGAACGATATTTCATWAAGTTTAACATATCGCTTCAGACCTTGATAGCCCCGACCAACAGAAAAWCGCCCATTTGCAAAACGTAAGACCCCAAACAAGACGAGGTCGTTCAGAAACGAAAGACCATTGTTTCCCACGGCCTAAAACAAGGCGTGGATGTACAGAAAGTCAAGGTCAGTAAACGATAATCTGGTAATAATGTGATTTATTGTTTCACCACTTTTAGTCGAAAATAAGAATAAATTTTGTCTTCAGAACTTGATGGGTTCGAACAGCAGGAGAAAGTGGATCTACAAGAAAAACGACCCCAAACAAGACGAGGCCGCTCACAGACAAGAGAGCACTCGCCACCACGGCCTAAAACAAGGCGTGGACGAACGGAAGGTAAACGACACTAAATACCACGATTTAGCTGCTTTACCACTTTTCAGTCGAAAATAATTAGCTATGGTTATATCACTCAGAAGTAGCTAGGGCCAACAAGAACTGAGATAAACGACTTTTCGACGTGCCCTTGAATACTTTTGTGCCATGTAGGTCTGCCGACAGTCACCTCTTCAGTGAACGCACATGGTAATTCTGCAATGGTGTTTTACGATGAAGAGGAATCAAAGTTGATGAAAGAGATTTTGCAAGAAGAGGAATTTCGAGTGAGAAATGAAGAAAGTTTCATGGACGAAGTCGTGGCTTCAGCGGAGTTGTCGATATCAAGAACAGCAGGAAAACAGTGAAGTATCAAGAGGTAAATGTTAACCTAAAGGCGATGACAGAATGTGAAGTTTGTTTAGACGTCCTGCCTTACGGTTAGTTGTAGAGTTATGATTATTATAAGCGTGTAAAGGAATCAAAGCTCATTATTGTGACTGGGTCCAAAGGAATCAAGACTGCTATTGCTCCATTCTAAATTGCACTGAAAGTAAATCAAATTCGTTGTTTCATTTCAGAAAGTACAAGTCTGAGGTCGTCCGGCGGGAAACCTCACTCTCAGCATGCAGAAGAATCAAATAATCTTTATGTCTATTGAAATAAAAGTTATTTATTAGTAGTAGTAGTACTTATTTGTATATTATTTATTGTTATG